TGACTGGGACATGGCAACCATAGACTGCTGCAACCACCTGGGGAAAGCCCGCGCGACTTTTAAAACCTTCAATTTTTTCTTGGACTTCATGTTGATTTTGGGGAACGTTTATATAATTGGGAAGAAGAACGTTCACTATCACCTCGCATACCTGTCGCACAATACCACAAACAGTGGATTTTCCGACATCAAATAGATTTCCGATCGTTCGAAAGTGAGCCGTGTCCGCGAGCCAATATAATGTTATGGCAACTCGATGGCGCACTGTAATGGCTTTCCTGTAATTGGTGTCCCTTTTAGAGATATGTGGCGAAAGTTCTCGGCAAAGGCGATTAAATGCTTCTTTAGACATGCGGAAATTCTCATTCCAGTCCTTTTCTTCCCAATCTTGGCAAGTCTCTTCCCAAAATATCTGCGACCGGGGTTTTAGCCAAATACGGCGAACAGGAAGATGTCGGAGAAGAAATCGAAGCAAAAAACGGAAAAACAATGATGAAACGAGACGTCTCCAACGGACATAACGATTAAACCGTCTCTCTGCGTTTCTCTGTCGGTTTTGTGTAATTCTGAGGTTTTCCCTCAGCCGTGACTGCGCCAACAACAGCAGGATATTGTGATTTAAACTTACCGCCATTTTGATTGCGTCTTTAATTTTGTTGGCAACAATTAATATCAAAACGAGGCTGCGCATTACCTAACCCAGTCTGCAGTGTGAACGGTTCTTGAGCAAAACATGTTTTATAAAACCATGTTTAAAAAAACTACGTTTAATGAAACTTGTTTAAATTGGTGTGAACAGGGCATAAGTCTGATTGCCACATCGAGGGCTAACAGCTACTGAAGCTTTGCTTTAAAGAATCAATAAATTCGAAACATCTGCATTTGACACTGTGAGGACGTTTTACAAACTATTGTTACCGAGTAAGTGTCTGAGGTCTTGGGAAGATTTCGCCTTTTTTTTCCATGTCAAATAGTGAAAATTTACTGCTACTATCAGCTTTTGAAACTCAAATTTTACAAATCTTGTGGCTGGAAAAAATAGATATTAACCAAACTCTGGAAAATTGTGGTGTACTGAACTATGTTTTCAACCCTGTTTAATTTTGTTTGAAAGCCGAATTTTCTACGCAGTAATTCGATAACTTGAAAACAGAACTAACCTAATGCGCGAACTTATGAGTGCTGAGCCGACATTCTCATCGATCTTGGCACTAGACAGTCATGGCCTTCTAAACTTCAGCTTAAAAGCGCGCTTCTTAAAAATTGTTTTCACAATAGAATTTTCAATTAGTGGTGCAGCGATTGGTAAATTCGTGCCAAAAATCGAGTTAGGGGGCGCAAGTAACATCTAATCCGTTCCAGTACCGCCCAACTTATTTCCAACCTTCTTTCTTGAACAAGGTAGTTTGCTGTACAAGAGGCTTTAACTTGTCTTCTCTCTCTGTGCTTGTGGTCCTGTGTTCCGGTGGTCCACGTCAAGAAACGATTCAGTAACTGCCAGATAACAAATACGAACATGTTAGAGTACGAACGAAAAAAAAATTGCTGACAGAAACATAAAAGTGATAAAACAAATAAATTTACATAATTCATTCTGTTTCTCTCATTATATTGTTTTGATTAGGATCTCGACCACTTAACATTCTCTTGGGCGACATGTCTAAAGTGATTGAGGAGAATTTTTAAACCTTCTGTGTGTTCCTTCTTGTATTGTATTTTCTCTCATTTCCATGAATGCTGTGACAATGTATTCATACTTGTACAGAAATATTGCATACTGATCAAATTGCCATCACTCGTGACAAAACTTCTTACGAGTGAGAACTGAAAAATTTCATTTTAAAAAACCTTTTCAGAGACTTCGAAAAATGAGAGACGGTTTGTTGCGTCAGCCAAACAGAACTAAATTACCTTGCCATAATCTTGTGAATAAAAAGGCCAATACAAAAACCAAAAGTCAGTTTGAAAAAAATGAGAATGATTGATTCGCTGCCGTCTACACTGCTCTTTTTCAGATACCTTTAAATTTTGTTGCGATAATTTGTTAAAAAATTTTGCTCAAATCATTTTATCATAGATAATGTACAACGAGAAGGGTTACTTGAAATTTTTCGGGAAAAAGTTTATGCTTTTAATAGATCAAGTTCTCCAATTTGTGCGCAAAAACTTGTTTACATTCCAATCATTCTTTTTCGGTGACATGACTCCGCCCCAGAGTGTCGTGAGAAGCAAATTGACAGTTCTTTGCACTCTTCCTATACGAATAGTAACGAATAGTCCCAAAGATAAAAGCTCATTACTGAAGCTACAATTAATCAAAAACACTTCTAAACATCTCTTCCACTGCAAAATTTCCGTAAAACTCCATACTTCATTATGCAAACAGTACTTGGATAAAAGAAAGAAAAAGCCTGACAACAGAGGACCGACGGCTTTGTTTTTCAATTGGTATGTGGTTATACGGAAACGTTACTGCGCCAATTTAGTATTTCATGCAGTTTTAATTTGGGGTTTCGTCGATGGCTGAGCATTTGTTTAAATTAATGAGTTGTAATAAGTTCTCTTTCAAGAAATAGCCTAAGAAGCCCATTAGTTATGTTAAGCAAGTTTTAGAACAACTTTAAGACGTTTACTTCTTGAGATTTAAATTCACTCCGCGTCAGTTTCTTCCAAAACTTTGGAACCGACAAGAAAATTACATCTCGTGAAAACATTCTGCTGCCAATTCTTCTCGCATGAAATTACATGAGAAACCTACAATGACCCTTAAAAGCCAGCTCTTTATTATAATATACGTGATTTTGGCTTTATTAATCAACAGGGATTGGTGCAAATATCAATCCATTCTCTTGACATCAGAAACCACATGTACATGTTGTAGACCTATCTTAAATAAATTGGATGCTTTTTCCTACCTTGGTTCGACTCTTTGCTCGCGTTTCCTGGTCAATCTTTCCAATACTTTATTTGAATACTTGCTCAAAGAATCTCATCTGAAAGGGCAAAAAAAATATAAATATTATTTCTTAGGCTTCAATAGACCGCGTCCAGGCGGTGAAACACTTTAAGTGGTTCATTTATCAAGTTACAATTCCTCAAAAAACTAGTGAATCACACAGTTCTGATGTTGCTAACCTTTCAGCCAAGTAGAGCTTATCGCTAAATATTTCTAACGCCTACTCGAGGAGGTTGCTCTTTATCATGCAACACCTTTGAATTTAACGCCATGAGGAAAAATAATTCTCTCCCCTATACATTTACTCGACTTCAGTTAGTCAATATAACCCTCTCTAACATATAATACCCTTTTCAAACTGTAAGATATTACGGTTGATGTAGCATTCTTTCATCTTAGTGAAACGTGCTATACAGCAGACTACGTACAAGTTCACACTTTCTCAGCCTTACCTTGTGTTCGTCGTGGAAATGTTTTGGCCAGCTGTCTGTCCTCGAGCAAAAGCAGCTTCCTAAATACTTCAGTCCATCTTTAAACGTTACAATTGACTAATTTACGAGTTTTTAAGGTCGGCTAGGGAAGTGAAGCAGTTCAGTCCACGAGGAAACCCAAGATGTAAATAAGTCGAAGGATTCACACGTGCAAATTCTCTCCTCACGACTATAAACTTGGGAACGAGGTTCGAATAAATTTGTACTGCAACCTTCTTTTAAACGAGAGTGACTTCATTAAGGCTTTTAATAGTTTATAGTTCTTACAAGTACTTACCAGATTTTCGTAACACACATATATATTTTTTTGCTTTGAGAAGACTTACCTGTAACACCCGGGGGAAAAAAACACATCACCGTCTAAGCGAATCGGTCGGATGTAAAACTAAACAAGTCGTAGACAGGTTTGGTTTTTTTCATCTGAGTTGATAATGTAAATTGGCAAGCGTAAATAGTTTCAAAGCTGATGTTTCGACAGTTAGATCTTCGTTAGAGCGAAGGAATGAGGGCTAAGGATCGAAACATCAGTTTCGAAACATTTACATTATCAACTCAGTTGAGAAAACCAAAATTATCTTGTTATACTTCTCCACCGACACAGCACCTCAGTTCTTGGAAGCTTACCCTCTTTAAACAAATCTTACTTGGTCATCCACCTTTTCCATTACTTGGAAGCATTAACATGTTGATACTTAACGCTTTGATCAGCATCGCATGATGTAGACATTTATTCTAATTGGGTGTGACAAGAATGAATCTCTAAATGTCTGTCTTAAAGAGGTGTCTGTCAAAAGAGACTTGACAAGAAAGTTGGATACTATAGCAGGCATATAAACTAAAAAACAGTTTGAAGTTGGTGGTTAAAAATTTATTTCATTAAATAATGACTGTGTCCTTACGACTTCCTCTCAACAAGGAATGCTCTGAACGCTAAACAATTACTTCCATCCAGCGTATTTACAATTGAACAGGTCTTACCCTACTTCGATACATAATAAATAAATTATTCGCTTTTTCACTATATAAACTTCATCTTTCTCTCAGTCTCGCCGTCACCAGTCTCCTGTCAGCTCTTGAAAGGCCACTTGATATAGAAAGCTAAAATGGATAAAAAAAAAAAAGTTGTTAAAATAATGGCGAGACTGAGTTGACTCGACGAAATTCTGAAGTCTTATTGGCCGATTGCCGAGTGTTAATCGGTATTAATTCACCGTGGATTCTTCACAGAGATCTCGCGATTTGCCTAATTCGGCTGTAAGTATAATTTGGTTCTATCATCTGAGTTGGTAGTGTAATCTGGCCACCATAAAAGAGATTTTTAAGCTGACTTTTCGAGCGCTAGCCCTTCGTCAGAGCGATTCAATCTGACGAAAGGCCCCCAAAAAGTACAACAGTTTTTTTGGTAGACTGCTTGCGTTCCTTCCTTTTCGGCAACGTCCGTCGCACGAATTAAAAAAATCAGTGAAAAAAATATTTGATCTTAGCGTGCCGCGCGGAATTCTTGGTGTGTGGCACACGAAAAATAGTACTTTTAATGCACCTCACTATACTTATCAACTTACCCTCTCAAATGTCACATGGTCTGGAGGTAAATAACACTCTAAATGGTGGTAATACTTCTGCCTGTACTGACGATATCCAAGTCGGGTGCTGAACGCCACAACCCATCTTAGAGACCTGTGATTAAAGGACATATAGTTTAATCCTTTACATGCTAAGATCAGTATGCATATTCTCTATACTGTTATCTATACATTTCACAAGGTGCTGACAAGGAGAATTTGTTTAACAATCAAGAGCTGCCTTAGTTGGTGATCATTTCCTTTATTCTAGTGACCGTTACGTTTGATTCAGGGGTAATAATTTAGGAGAAATTAGATGTTGGTCACTGCTTGAGGTTAAAGGATTAAGCAGTACTGAAGCGTCGTCTATAATTCTTTGCACTAAAAATCTAAAGAGCTACATTGAAAATGGATCTAAAGATCAACGTGCGTAGTGGACGAGGCGAAAAGGAGGTGGGGGGGAGGGGGGAGGTTGTTTATAGTACGTATTATTTGGAGCCACAAATTACCTGTTTGGAATGAGACTATCGCAAGTTCTGCACAGTGCACGACCACTGCGGGCATACTCGACACCATAAGAATAATCGTTGTAATCAGACTCCTTAGACAAAGAAGTGAAAAATAATTAAATCAACAATATGCTGATTAACAAAAAATAAGAAGTTTGACCGTGTAGTCTGATGGTCCTAGCGAGTGTAGTCAAATCTATTCAACTCTTACGATGAGTTCTGCTCAGGTCGCAGAAAGGTCAGCCATTACTAACTACAACATTCCTTATCAGGAATACCCTCTCCCAGATGATCATATTACACGATCAAACGTTACCCCGGGATCAAACAGATTGCTGGCAAAATGTACGAAATAGATCATCTTTTCACATAAGAAAATGCGCAGTACCCTAAATAAAAAACTATAGAGCACGTCATTTTCTCAGAGAGACAAAACAAAGAACTCAGCGCGCATTCACAAAGACTTTTAATCTCTTATAATCAGCAGGCGGCTTGCGTAACAATTCCAGTAACGTTTAGCTCTCCATACCCTTGCAGAGATATTTTGGCCCTCCTTCCCACCCAAGATGGAGCACAGTCCCCTTGGTCTACCGACTTGCATAGACTGGGGCCAAGAGAAGATGGGAGGGAGGAACTTGGAACTGTTTTGAAAGAGTATCAAAAAACTTGATGACAAAAATAACTTTAATCAACATTACCTCTTCTGAGTAATCGTCACTGTCATTACTTTCTTGCACAGATTCACTTTCATCATCTTCACTTTCACTATCACTAAATTGAAACCAAAAAAATTCAAAACCAAATTTTAACCATTTAACTCCCATGAGTGACCAAGACAGAATTTCTCCTTACAATATCAATACAATATCAACCAGAAAGTGATGAGAATAAAGCAAAATATCAATTTGGGAATAATTAGTTGATCCAATACTAAATTCTCTGAACTTACATTATAAGTATTGTATGGTTGACAATAAGGAGAATTACAACCTTGATCTGGGAGTTAAGGGGTGAAATGAAGAAATATATGATATATTCTTTATGTTTAGTCAAAAAGTTTCCTTAACAAAAAAACAAAAAACAAAAAAACAACCAGCCCTGACCTGGTTGATGAAACAGGCACAACTTTCTTCCCATTTTTCTTTTTGGCTTCTTTGCTCATCTCCTATAAACCAAAGTGAAATGACATAAAAAAAGTAATACTGGTACACAGAGTTGACAAAGTTCACAAAGAATCTTACATTCACAAATATCACTTGTCTGAAAATACCACACAAGTGAATAGTGCATTTCATGTGCGCTGATTCATTTTTTGGGAAGCAATCAGCAAGTAATATTCACTGCCAAGCAGGCAAAGAGACAAAATCAACTTTTAACCCTTTTTCGTTATAATATTGACAGAAATAAACTACTCTTTTTGGTTTCTGAAAAAATATATTCACTTCAGTGTTGGTGAATAGTGGTGGATATTAATGGGGCCACTGAGTGGCAAGGTAAATATCCACCATTGTTCACCTCCACTGAGGTGAAATATATTGTTAACTATTTGTTCTAATTTTGTTAGAAAGAGGAGAAAATGCTATGAGAAAAATATGTTCAGTTCACTAGAATTTGTTTATTAAAAGATCTAATACAAAACTTAACTGCAAAAGCAAAAGTTGAAGGTTGTTGTTTCAAATCACCTGAATTTTTAGCTGCCTTTCGTCAAGTTCCTCTGGAGAAAGAACTTCTTCTGCTACTTTGTTTATTGTATTGTCTAGCACCTGAAAGGTCAAACAGAAAGCTTAACACTTATCAATTATCATTACAATTAAATTCTTGTTTATGATATGCAAAATACAGGGCATGTCACGGAAATGAAAAAAAAAAATTGTTTACTATCATTACAATTAAACTCTTGTCTCCAATAAGCAAAACACAGGGCATGTCACAGAAATGAAAAAAAGAATTGTTTACATGTGAATAAGAATTGAGTCATTGAGTAAGTTTATAGAGCAGTTCACTGATAAGAGCACAAAAATATGCATGTTAAACTTGCAGAGAATGCATCTAGACCTGACACAGACTGGTCTTGACAGACAAGGAAATGCATCTCAAGTACAGTGTTTAAAATCCACCTCTATTCTACGATGCTACAATCTGACAAAACATTACCCTTAAATAACATGAGAATGTCTTATAGAATACAATTCACCTTAACTTTCACTAACTGCGCAAGCAAAATTGAAGTGGAGAGAAAAAAAAGCCTTAAATGACTTGTGATGAACTACAAGATTCTCCTTCCACATTGTTTTGTATTACCTCACAAAAAAGAAAGAAGAAGTTGGTGTTCCATAAAAAATAACCTTAAGGCTCTTTCTAATCACCCCTCCAACTGATAACCCTTTGAACCCTAAGAGTAACAAGCATCTAATTTCTCCTTACAATATCATCCCTGAATCACACATTAAGGTCATAAAAATACAGGAAATAATCACTGACTAAAGAAGCCCTTGATTGTTCAACAATTTCTCCTTGTCAGCACTTTAGGGTGTAAAGGATTCACTCACCTTCACTGGTACAGCAGACTTGAGTTGAGCCTTTGCTCTACAGTTTGGACAGTCTTTTGAATGACTAAGTAGAAAACAAGAAAAATAACTTTAATACTTTTTGCTCCATTAACATGTCATTTTATTCTTAGCACTCTTTCAATTATATCAATCAATACAATCACATTAGTGAATCAAACTGAAATAAAATTCTCAAATGTGATTGGTTAGAAGCTCAATTTAAGAACCAATAGGATAGAGTCCACACATTATGCCTTTGTAATTGAAGATTACACATCAGTTGTATGAAGGTTCTTTTCTTCGCAAAAACAAGTGAACTAATAAGTTTTAATGAAATAATGACTCTGTTTGACCTATGACTATTTTGTTATTTCTGAATCAAAACATCCTACTTTCCTGTGTGCTTGAATGATGTGCTGTCAAATCATTTCAAATGGCCAAACAGATTTACCTTAAACCTTTACACTCTAACATCACTGTGCATATTCTCCATACTGTTCTCTATACATTCCCAAAGGTGCTGACAAGGAGAATTTGTTTCACAATCAAATACTTCTTATGTTGCTGGTTGTTTCCTTTATTCTCACAGCTTTAATGTGTGATTTAAGGGTGATATTGTAAGGAGAAATTAGATGCTAATCACCCTTAGGGGTTAAAAGGTTACAGGTTAAGATGACTTTAGAACTAAAAAAATGCTCCGTGATATGTCTCACCAAAGCCAGTCCCTGATACAACCAAAACAGAAAGTGTGTGAGCAAGGCAAAGTGTGCACCAATACTATCAGTTCACGACAGATACAACAAAGTAGCTCCTCATTTAAATCTTTCAAGCACTTCTTTGATCTGCTTTCATCTACTAAATGAAATAAAAATTTAACATGAGCCCTGGCTATGTAACCATTAATGCAATTGATAATAATTTTCTCCCAGACTTTTGTTGGAGGAATACTTGCAATTTTGATGGAGAATATACAAAGTCATGTAGCATTAAATCAAAAGTAAGAGGAGTATAACTGGGTACCAGATAATTTTCAGGGAAGCCTGATAAAATGCTGGGGGTAACCCACTAGTTGGGTCACTTTGCTTGCAAAAATACTTAATTTACTCTTTTTTATCAAAAGTGGCATTAAGGGCTTTTTTCTTCACATCCCTTCAACAATAGACAGATGCCTTCAGTGGAAAGTTGCATCCTACATTTGTAACATTACATATTAAGATAAAGTTCAGTTTAATTCACTTCTTGGAGTTAAATTTACCTTCAGTGATGTTTACTTCTTCCTGTGGATCAGCTTTTTGATCAACTTCAAAAACCTGGGATTGGAAAAGAATATTCATGGTTTTGATACATGCCACAGAACACAATGTACTTCACTCAATGATACCCTGAGAAATTGATAATCCTAATAAAATGTAAAATTCATCTCTTTTAACTCTTGGATTTCCAGAAATGATTATTATAGTCTGTAATTTGTTTTCTCTTTGCCTTTTCTTTAAAAATGATATAAAAAAAGTAATTTGCCTCTTGATAATCATTAAATCAGAAGCCCAAGTTTATCTACCTGCTTATCGTCCATGCTGCCTTTAGTCTTCTTTTCACATGGAGAGCTGAAAATTACAAAAATATTAGAAGTTTGACAGGCCTATCAGCATTCAATAGGAAGTTCAGATTAGGTCTTGACACTTGGTCTTATTTGTAGCAGACTGGAACTTGATTTTAGGAACACATACAACAAAATGGTTATGTTAAAGAGGTGTAATGAGTGGGAACCTGTTTCTGGAAGATCCTGGTAACTTAAGAGGCCTGTACAGCTGTCTGTTTTCATTCAAGATGACGGTTTCAAAAGTTGTGAAAATTATACAATACAACTATCAACAAAATATTAAAAATGAACTGGTTAGGGTGTCAGAATCTGCTTCTCTATTGGCTTTAAATATTGACTTTAAAATATGGTTTGGGGCCTGTTAAGTTACTGGGACAGTAATTCAAGAAACAGGCCCCCCAACTTAAGATATGAAGATGCCCCTACACCTTTGGGGAAAATGTATATTTGACCCTTGGAAGAAAGATGATAGTCTTCATGCAAAATCATATAATAATAAAAAACTGGGATATGATCTTGATCCCGCTTACGAGTTACAGACAAAAAAGTATCTGCTAAGGAAGCGAAAGAGGCAAGAGGTTGTTGTAATTTCTATGATCTCAACCCACATCACCCCCTTGAAATTTTTTTCCAGAGTATTTATTTCTCTTTCTAGTACCCTACACTCCTTTTCTAAGTCAAGCGACCCTACTCTCCATCATTACTACCCCTACTTCTAAGAGTTATAGTGTACCCATACCTCACTCCTTCACTTAGTGATGCGGGCTTTTTCCGTTTGCTTCGCCTTCGCACGCTTCCATCGCTTGTTCCTTCCCCAAGGGAGCCCACTTCTTCAGAATCATTCTGGCAGACCTCATTAAAAACATACACAAGCTCCGAATCGTAAGCTGACAAACTCTGTCCTTCTTTCGTTTTAACGCCAGCACCTCCAAAGACAACAACATCACCATCGCATAGGACAGCAGAGCTACGCTTTGTTTTGTTGACTAGCAGCCCGTTCAGTCCTTTACAATCAATTCTGAATTTTCCATTGCTGAATTGAATTTCAGCGTGAACACGACTGATCATTAAAGGAGATATCACACTGTCAATAACAACATCTGAATATTCATCACTGCGTCCGAGACGAGTGACAGTCGGTTTTAGCAAAATTTTTTCTGGTTGTAGAGATGGATCATAGCAATTCCCTTCGACTCTCTGCAGACGGAGCATTTTTCTCCTCTGTTTCAGTGTGCAAAAGCCTCTCATACCACTTCAAGATTCTTCTTGACTGTGTTCTTGAAGTACTCTCCAAGCGGCCATTTTAACAGTACGACACGATATTCGGAAATCGTTCGGACAAGATCGGACAAGCTCGGGTGTAACTTCTCGTTAGCAAAATCAGGAATAGGGAAAAGGATAACGGATATGAGGAATGAATGTGAAAGTGATGTTTTGTTTTCTCGCGGATCTGTCACGCTCACATCGTTCGTAGGCTCGAAACACGCGAACTGTGTTGATCAGCATGCAAAGTTTTGTACTTTTAATTGAATTTAGATGTTTCAGAACCCAGTCTGTTCGGACAGTGTATGCACAAAATAGGGAATTTTTCCCCTTGATGCTGTCGTTGTGTGGCATAGTGAAAGTTTGAATATACAGCAAAGGTCGGTAATAATAGTTAATTAATTAATTAATCTGATTGCGGTTCTTATATTGCCATAGTAACTTTATATGATATGTACACACAGATATAAAACACTGTATTCTTAAACTGGGTACCCAAAAGCCGTGCCCCCCGTTTCTAAGACTCGTGTCTTGTAGAAGGGAGGATGTTTTAAAATGGATATTGATCCGTGGTTGATATGTGTAAACTTTTCATTGGACCAAACTCTTTTGCTTCTTTCCTCCTGACATGGGTCCCTCTTCAACCCCTGGTATGCTCCTCAATGTGTGTTAGCATGATGGGGTCATTAACAGGAGTGCATCCCACCCCACCCCCAAGGCGCTTGGTTTTCTAAAATACTTCCCTGTTCAGAAATGTTTGCACACCAAACGTGTTAGCACATCCAACTAGCCCACAATGAGCTCCAGTGTCATGCTCAGTTGTGGAGGAATATCTCTTCTTTCCAGGGTTGTGGTGAGGGGAGGCTGTGTAACTGGAATGCCTCTCAAACCATCAGCTTCCCCAGTCCTCCCTGTTACTTCATCTAATTTGCTCTGTCTCTGAAGAATGAAATTTGCAAGACAACATCTTGGTTAACTTTGCTCTTCAACTAAACCAAGTCAGGTGGAAGGATTTCTCGTGAACTTCAACTCTTAGCTTTCATTTGATGCTATCTGGCAAAGTCAAATAATAATTCTCAATAGTCTACTTCATCCAATGGAGAGGTTTAAGTACAACAAAAAAGATCATTTACCTATTATTCACAGTGTTGCACAGTAATACACTCTTGCAAATCAAACAAGTAAATTTATTCACAATGCATTCAGTAAGATATTTGTTTTAACAGTGGTCAACGCTATACAAACCTAAAGGATAAGCACTGTTGAACAGTTCATGAATATGGTGAAATATATCCTATAATATCAGTAATTCATTCGATCAATTTACATTTTTATAATACTTAAAGAAACTTATTCTTAAAAATTCATCCATGTATGAAAAACCTAAATAGAAATGCTACCTTCATGCATTCAAAACACTTCTCAGTCTTAAGATGATTTCTAATCACATTTTAGATGTAATTCCTCCAAAAGCAACTAAGTACTACGAAATTGTCAAATTGTTTACAGCTTAATCATGCAAGCCACTGTCCATGAGTGGTCATTAAAGAATTGGATGTAAAAGCATGCTCCATCTGACAAGTCAATTAATATTATCGAGCTCAACTATCAGTCTCCCAAAATATGCTCACGGAAGAGTCTACTTAAACCTGCTGAAAATATATAAAGTAAATAAGTAAAAATTATCAGCAACAATTAACACTACTTAGTACCACTGTACTGTATATTTTGCCTTTAAAATACTCCGATGTCTTTAAGCGGTTATAGAGCTTATTCTCGTTTGAAATTGATTTCATGCTTTATCAAAACTATATTCTTGCACGTGATTGGTAATTAGACATGTAGACATTGTGCGCAAATGCAATTCCCTAAAAAATTTTTTCCTTTATGTGATAAACAAGTAATTGCAAGCGCCCTCGGGCCAATGGGATCGGAAATACAAGACATATAACCAATGGGTGGTTGCTTTCTAAACTATTGATTGACAAATCTGACTCCCACTTTGCGGCCGTCTGACTTTGTCAATCACTAGTACGATTAGAGATCAGATTGGAGTCCACTCAATCCTATTACTATTATCAATATACGACACAAACAATCACATTACTGAAATGATGAATCAACAGTTCTTTGAACTCTCCAAAGAAAATTAGAAGGCAGGTTGCTGATTCTAGCCATTTTCTTTCCAATTCTCTTACGACAAATGACATGTCACAATTTTCCGTAAATTAATAAAATAATAAAACTCAAAGATATTTGCTAAAGGTTTACTTTTGAAAAATTGATTGTTGCTTTCAGAAATGGTCGTTCATTTCAGAATGTAAACTTCTTTCCCGCGGAAGCCTGTGACCAAAATCCGATCATCTAACATTGGGGTAACACTCCAGGACAATCCAAATTGAATATTTGAACTTGTCTTTCCAGTGAAAGCTCCTTCCAGAGTAAACTGTTGAATGCCAATGTTCCTCGCATCATATACCAAAACGTTGTTATGTTTGTCAACACATAAGCTCTACGGCGTATCCATCTGTCCATCACCGTGTCCTTTCAAATTTGTACAGAAATTGTCCTATCTCATCAAACACTTTCACACAGTTATTATTCTTGTCAGTTACAAAGAACTTTTCCTTGTAACAAACGCAGCTGGTGGGATGATCCAGCCTTTCTGGGCCGTTGTCTCCAAACTTAAACACAGGTTCACCATCCATTGTAAACACCTGAATTCTGCTGTTAGCAAACTCCGTTACAACGATAAAACGTCCATCACCTGTAATACAAACACCTACAGGAGACACAAACTCTCCATCTCCACTTCCCTCTTTGCCAAAGCTTTTCACAAAGTTCCCTGTCTGTACATTCAATTGCTGTATTCGGAGCTCATTACTTATGGGCTCCTGGTTACCGGTACTTTCAAGAAACAGGTCCCTGAACTTAATCTATGAAGATGGCCTTACCCCTACGGCGAAAATTTCTTTTTGACCCTTGGCAGAAGGATAATAGTCTTCATGCAAAATCAGTTCTACAAGACTGGGCTTTGATCTTGATCCTGCTTAAGAGTTACAGACAAAATGTCATCTGCTAATGTGGTGAAAGAGGCATCAGGTGTTGATGTTGTTGTTGTTTATTTGTGCATATTTCTTTGATCTAAACCCACACCGCCCCCTTAAAAAATTTTCCCAGAGTATTTACCTCTCTGTATAATACCCTGCACCCCTTTTTCTGGGTCAAGTGGCCCTATCTCCATCTTTACTACCCCTACCTCTCTATCACGTACCCATACCATAGTACTTCACTCGGTGATACAGGCTCCCATCGCTTGTTCCTTCCCCAAGGGAACCCAATTCATTCAGAATCATTTTGCGTTTCGGAAACCAGTCAGTTCGGACAGTGTATGTACCAAATAAGAGAATTTGCCTCCTAATGCTGTTGTTGTTCGGCATTTGAAAGTTTGAAAAAGATAGTGCGTAACAATTCTCAGATAAGCCCTTTCTACATAGAAGGCAGATTTGTTACATTAAGCCGGTAACAGGCATGGAAGCATGACAGTGGTGTAAATAAAACTTTTTTATGCGGCCTTCTTTGTATCACAGTTCAGTTACTCTAAATGTAAATGGTAGATTCCCTAAGCACTAGGCCTAGTCTCTGCCGAGATTTTGCCATTCGACACTACGTTAAATCTCAGCGCACGTGTGTTTTCATCGCTTGTTATTTTCGCTTTTATTTTTTGGATGAGGATCGTTTAACTAGACTTACATCGAAGAAAAAGAACATTACGGAACCATTACGGATATTGTAGCACTTTTCAAGGTTACGGAAAAGGACACTTACTTGTTTGAAAGGATTTATCATACAGCATTGTATTCGAACAGTGTGCAGAGCGTAGTTGATCGGATCGAATAAAACGTGGTATTGACACTGAATTGACGGCTGTTACACAAAATCTTTTTGACAACCCTGAGAAGGCATTACATGGCCGTGGGTTGATACAAATTTATCCTCGAGTGTCGACAACATCTCTCTTTTGTGAGAGATATTATAAACTCGTATCCACCAGCGGACAATTAACGTTCTGTTTAGTCTAGGTCTAAAGTTACTGAATACGTATTTAAACGAAAAAACAATTTTAAAACACATAAGAATATTGAATACAGAGAACACCAGCAAATAAAATCAGCTAATAGAAAAGCTACTTCAACCTCCGACTAAATGTAAAACAAGTTCTCATTCCAAACATACAGCAAAGGTAGGTAAAAATATTTTATTAATCTACTTGTAGTTCTGCCATTGACTTAGTAACTTTATGTGATATTTACACACAGATATAAAACACTGTACTCTTAAAAAGCGCATTTCAACTGAGTGTCCTACAACCCAATCCAAAGTGATCACAACTGCCAATCATCGAGCACTTTTCAATTCAGTATCGAAAAACCAAAACCAAGGTAATCACAACTGCCAATCAGAAAAAAGGTTTCCATGATTATTAGCCAATGAGAACTCAGAGTAGAAACAGCCAACCCCCTTAAAGTGCGGGAAAACGCGAGTGATCAGGTCGTGTTTGGTCTTAGTTTTACATATGATTGGTTAAGATTGTGACGCGAGTCTTTCTGAGTTTCTGTGGACCAACCACACAAAGAAGTAAAGCAGAACCAAAGCAATACAGCATCACTTTCGATACTCAGTTGGAAACTGCTCTACAAAAGGAAATATAGCAAAAGGCCAGAGATAACTCAAAAGAAAAACTAGCAAAGAGCCTGAAGCGCTGGAAATATACGAATGGCCCTATTCCAACACTCGATCATGATGAGGCACGTACTTGATTGGTCAAGAGGGCAGCATAGGCTCTCTAAACCAATAACAGACTACAGTCAAGGTAAACTAATACCCATGACTATCTCCATGACTACTTTCGACACTCAATTGAAAATTTCTTTTATAGTTTACAATATTACCATACAAAAATTAGTCTTAAAATAATTCTGAACATGACTAATGATTGAGTCTCTAGATACTGATGCTGTATTGCACTACTCGTTAGGTCTGATCTGTAGAGTTATTCTCTGTTGGTTATCCAGGCACTCTCGTAGTTTATTCTCAGTCCTAGTCAGACTTTGTTCCAAACAAAAAAGTGGCTCAATGAATATGACAATCTCTCCCCTACACCAAAAAATATCGTAAAAAACTCAAATATCATTGAGTTTAGGCGTAAGCTAATAAATCTCCACGTTGCACGAAATCTTTGACTCGTCTCTGTACAACAAAAAACTCATATAAGACTGTTCATGACCTTTTTCCCGACGGGAGCCATGGACTTGATAGCCAATTGCTGATTCAGAAAAGAACCTCATCTCGCGACCAGGTATTCCTTTTTCTAGGGGGAGGGGGAAGAGAGAAAGAGCAACTATAGTGCTTCCCCACCATCTTTTACCTCCCCCCCCCCCCCCCCCACCCCCGGCCTCTGATCCAGGCTAAAGGAAGGGTGTTTTAAAATGGATATTGATTAATAGCTGATAGGTGTAAACTTTTCATCAGGCCACACCCTTTCGCTCCTTTCTCCCTAACATGGGTCCCCTTCAACCCCTAGTATTCTCCCCGATGAATAACAGCGTGATGGGGTCATTAACAGGAGTGTATCCCCCGTCCCCAACCCCAGGGCTCTTGGTTTCTAAAATAATTCCTTGTTCAGAAATGTTTCCACAACAAAAGACTGTGTAAGCACACCCAGCTGGCCCACAATTTACTCCAGTGTCATGCTCAGTTGTAGAGGAATATGTCTTCTTTCTAGGGGTGTGGTGAGGGGAGGCTGTGTAGCTGGAATGCCTCCCAAACCATCAGCCTCCCCAGTCCTCCCTGTTACTTCATCTGATTTTCTCTGTCTCTGAACAATCAAAATGTGCAATACAACATCTTGGTTAACTTGGCTCTTAAACTGAACCTAGTAAGGCAGAAGGGGTTCTTGTGAACTTTACATCTTAGCTTTCAACTGATGCAATCCGGCAAAGTAAAAAATAATCCTAAATACCCTTCTTCATCCAAAGAAGAGTTTTTAGGACAGCAAAAAGATAATTAATCTATTACTCATGCAGCTCTTGTTGCACAGTAACACACGTTTGAAAATCAAACAAGTAAATTTATTCACAATGCTGTCAATAAGATATTTGTTTTATCGATGGTCAATGCTATAGAAACTTAAAGGATAAGCACTTTAGAACAGTTCATGAATACAGTGGAAAATATCCTGTAATATCTGTAATTCATTCAATCAATCGACACTTTCATAATACTTAAAGGAACTTATTCATGAAACTCCTGCATGCATAAAATACCTAAATAGAAATGCAAACTTGATGCATTCAAAACACTCCTCAGTCTTTAGACGGTTTCTAATAACAATTTAAATGTTATTCCTCCAAAAGTAACGAAGCACTACGAAATTGTTGAATTGTTTACAGCTTAATCATGCAAGCTGCTGTCAATGTGTTAATTTAAAAATTTGATACAAAGGTATGCTTCATTTGATGAGAGAATTACTATTATTTAACTTAACCAAAACTCTACCAAAATATGCTCACGGAAAAGTCTACTGGATGCTGGAAAAATGTAAAGTTGATAAGTAAAATGTATCATCAACAATTTACATTAATCAATGCCACTGTACATTTATTTTGCAGAAATGTGTTTGTTTTTTTTTGCCTTAATAATACTCCTAAATCTTTGAGCGGTTACAAAGCTTAATCTCGTTTGAAATCGATTTTGTGGTCTGTCAAAACTATAACAAAATTCCGGCATGTGATTGGTTATCACCAGCTCGATTTGAGCACCAATTGGACAGTGCAGATGTCATGCTTGTAACTGGACAATTGAATAGAACAGTTGACATGTCATGCCTGTGTAAATGGACAATGCGTGTCATATGCAAGCGCTGTTGTCGCGCATTTCGGCGACTGAACCGTTGTCTTTTCATGAAAACGTATAACCGATGTCTAGTTTCTTTTTTAAACTAGTGATTGACAAATGGGACTCCCCGTTCGTAGTCGTCCGATTTTGTCAATCACTCGTATGATTATAGACCGAATTGGACTCCACTCAGTCCTATTACTATAATTTAATAAAAGCTCACACAATCACATTTCTGAAGTGATGAATCAACAATTCTTTGAAACTGTCCTTGAAAAATTAGAAGGCAAGTTGCTGATTCTAGCCATTTTCTTTCAAGTTCTCTTGTGACACGTGACATGTCACAGTTTTCCGTAAATTAATAAAACAATAAAACTTACAGATATTCGCAAAAGGTTTGCTTACGAAGAATTGATAGTTACTTTCAAAAATGGGCATTCATTTCAGAATGTAAACTTCTTTCTTTATGTAGTCTGTGACCACAATCCGATCATCTAGCATTGGGGTGACACTCCCCGGCCATCCAAACTGAATATTTGAACTTGTCTTTCCAGTGAAAGTTCCTTCCAATGTAAACTGTTGAACTCGATTATTTCCCCCATCACATAAGAAAACGTTATTATGTTTGTCAACACATAAGCCAAACGGCTTATTCATCTGTCCATCACCGTTTCCTTTTTCTCCAAACTTGTACAAAAACTGTCCTCTCTCATCAAACACTTTCACACATATATTATTAAAGTCAGTTACAATTAACTTTTCCTCGTAACAAACGCAGCTGAGTGGATGATCCAGCCTTTCTGGGCCGCTGTCTCCAAACTCAAACACAGGTTCACCATCCATTGTAAACACCAGAATTTTGCTGTTATTAAAATCCGCTACAACGATAAAACATCCATCACTTGTAATACAAACACTTACAGGAAACTTAAACTCTCCATCTCCACTTCCCTGTTTTCCAAAGCTTTTCACAAAGTTCCCTGTCTGTACATTCAACTGCTGTATTCGGTGATTAAATTGATCGGCCACCAGAATCTCGTCATCGTTTACGAACGTGACGTCAGCTGGATTGTTTAATTGTCCATCCTTGTCTCCATAAGAACCAAGTTTTCGCACAAACTTTCCTGTCTCATCAAATATCAGGATACAGTGACCTTTATGATCAGTCACAGCAATAACACCTTTACTGTTCACTGCAATGCCGGCTGGACCTTGGAGCATTTCTCCACGTAAGTCCAACTTGCCTACAACATTTAAATCTCGTGCTTTGACCAGAATAGAAAATGGACTCTTGGCAAGTTTCTGTCCATTTATCTTTACTTCTATTTTATAAGTACCTGGTACTTTCGCTACAAATTTTGCTTGGAAATTTCCATCTTCTTTTTCACTCGTCACCAAGCTCCTCACCTGATCCGCAGGGTCTATGTGTATTTCAACACGATCTGTGTGCTGAGTGTTTCTGATTTCTCCTTCACTTGTTTTGGGACAAATTAGTAGCTCTGCCTCTACACCAGCTTGGAAATTCTGATCCAGTCCTTCCACGGTCGATCCTTGCACATCTGTCTTGCTGAACTTCGTAAATCCCAGACTCAAACTCTCTGGTTCACATGTCGACACAAACTCCACACACGAGCTAACCGGAAGTGCAGGCATTGTGGTCTCGATGAGGTCTTTGATTCGTTCTAATACATTTTTCTTGTTTAGCATTATGTCTGAACTTGAGCTTCTCTCAACCAGGTTGTTACTGAACTCAAATGCTTGGTCAAGTTGCTTTTCGAAAGAGACAACCGATGCTTTTCCAGAATGTAATTTCTCAATCCTTGACACGCGAGTCTTCTCTAGGGCAGTAATGGCTTCACGTTCCAGTTGGCGAAGCTTTCCCATCATCTGTTCGGTTGCTTGGGAAACTTGGCGTTTAGCTGTGGTAATGTTCGTTTCCAACTCATTTTCCGTGTTTTCAAATTCACGAATAACACCTCGGCAGACCTCCTTCATCTCTTTGACCAGCTTTGCTCTGACAGTGATGTTTGCTTTTTCATCGTCCGCTGCCTTTTCAAGCGGAACAACATCGTGGCTCTTGTGATCAGTGGCGATGCAAACCTGACACACGCAGCTTTGACAGCCCACACAGAAAAACTTTGTTACTTCTTTCTCGTGATACTTAACGGAGCAAAACGACTGCCGTTTCAACAACGCCTCGTAGTCTGTAGCTTGAAACTGTCGCACTGGTGTGACTTTGTGTCCTTGAAACAAAGTTTCTCGAAACACTTCGTGTGCTTTCACACAGTCTGGGCACATAAACTTCTCGCAATCAAAGCAGTAGTTGATCTCAGCGCTCTTCTTCTGGCATGTACTACAGCTGATTTCATCTCCCTCGCCGCTGCGTCGAACGGCGAGAAGACTCAACAAACTGTTGTGCAGAAAACTGCTTGGTAGATTATCAAAACGCTTTCCTTCAGGGATGCCAATTTGTGCCTGACACTCGGGGCATCGATAAAACCCTTGTTTTTGGCTCGTTAGTGCATGTCTCTCCAGGCATTCACAGCAGAACGTATGAAGACAAGCAATGGTCTTCGGTTTAGTGTAAGTATCCAAACAAATCGAACATGTTACATGCTCTTTGAGGTTTTTTAAAAGCGACTCCATCACGAATTGCTGAGAAAAATACAGCTTTGTTTTGTTTGAGATTCCGAGAAACTGAACTTGGATTAGTGTTTTATTTAAAGCAGCGAATCAGATCTCTGTAGGATCGCGTGATCTTCGCGCAGAGATTGACAGTTTTACATTGCAATTTTATCCACCTATTGTGAACTTTCTCTGTGACTGCGTAGTAAAATCGATTTCATAGCGTGACCGAATATGTCGCAGTAGCCACTGTATCACAAAAAACAACATGCTACGATGGTTTGGAAATAAACCATCAACCTCATTTTATCGTCCCTACATTTACCGGCGTTTAGTGAGATTGGGATTCCGAGAAACTTGTTTGACACCACACGAGTAAATATATGTTATTTGCCGGTGTCACAGCGGATTTGGACCCCCGCGGTTTGGACCCCCGGTCCAAATCCGCTAGCGGATTTGACCCCCGGTCCATATCCGCTAGCGGATTTGGACCCCCTTCGCGGATTTGGACCCCCCCCCCCAACTAAACATTCCTTTTTCGTAACTTGTTCCAACTGCGAGCTTTTAGGCGATGTCCGTTAAAATTTCAACACAAGATTGCGTACTATAATTGACGAAGAAAAGGGCAGATATCGTTTCATTTCTGACACATTTATTTAAGTTGGTAGAATAGCCTACGCATGAATTAAATGACAACAAACTATTGGATTCGAACTATTGAAACTCATACCAAATCCTTTCTTATTCTGTTGCAATACAATTCTGAAGAACAAGTATGAAACTAGTACTACTCTTACTTTACTTCGTAAAGTACGTCATAATAGTGAAAACTATTTCGTCTCAGTATAAATAGTATAATCCTGAACAAGAACGAAACTAGCAATACTCTTACTACTATTACTTTATTCTTTTACAACATGTCAAAACGTTTCTATTGTGAACTGTTGGAACTCAGCTTATTTATAAATGCAAATCAACATCAATATCTTAACAACATTCGTATTTTCTAATTTTTGCGATCATTTAACGGTTTCTAGCGTTCGTAAGTCATTCATTAAGTCTGCAATACTCTGGACTATTGAAATGACGCCTAGATTTAACAATAACGAACCCCTATCGACTTTGGTGGTCTGCAAACACTACAGAGCCACTCGCCCTTCGGGGCAGTCTTAAGTCCCTCGCAGGCCATGTGCAGCCATTCCTCACACAAATCGCACTGCAGCATGTCGTCCCAGCACTCGGGCATCGAGCAATAACAAAATAGGCCAATGTCGTATGTTTGTCTCTTATTGAATCTAGCAGTGTTCAACTGTCTTGGAAAGGCTTCTAAACGTCTTTTCTCTAAGCACTGAACTAAATGTTGGCGCATTTTCCTTGATCAAAGGAAACGTCCGACGGGTC